TAGACTGTCTTCAGTGGAGAGGTACAAAATAATAATTCCAAGTCTTCTAGAAGCTCTAATGTCCTGAATGTAAGAGACATGTGGAATTAAAATATCCTAAGAAGTCTAAATATTTTTAATCCATCAAGTGTCATTCAATTACTAGTAGATAATAAAACTAATCTTCAAAACTAATCGTCACAAACTTTGTGTCAGAAGTAAAAAAAGACATGCATTTCCTGTAGAGCTGCTTCAGGTTTTTTTCAAATCTTACTGAAGCACTACACAACCCTTCCATTGGCCAGTAAAGGCACATACATTTTTCACATCCTTATTTACTTCTTTTATTGTAAAAGTAGAACATTACAATTAGAAATATTCATTGAAGTGCTGTCCTCCAATGATACTTGGCACATTTCTGCATGGCACAGAACAACTGTCATCCATTCTTTTGATGATGCTGGCAGGGTTGCTTTGGATAGGGCTATTTAAGTGAAGTACTTGTCTATAAACTATCGATCAGACATTTAAAATCCTGCTTGTCACTGGCAATGAGGCCTAGTAAAAGCACCACACACTTCTGTAGAGAGCTCTTCCCTGGACTGGAGATATGCTAAGACTTGTTCCAACTTAAGTCGCTGTAAAACTGCACATTCCTTTTAATTGTAAATTGTATTTTACACAGATTCATCAGAACTATAAATATGCTATTGCCTGATTCACTTTCTTATGATCCATTGAAAGTCAGATGAACTTCAAAATTTCTCTCCAGTAAATTAACCCAAATGTCAATGTTGTCTTCTTAGGCAGAGCTCCAGAGATGTTCTGTTAGACAACGCGCAAGAAGCTGAGATGAACAGCACAGCAGCAAGAAGCTGCATTGTTCTGTCCGTTCTCTGTGTCTACATTTGCTCCTGTTTGCCCTTCCTTAAAGTCTAAATATGCTCCATTGCTTTAGAAATAAAAAGCCATTCAGATCCTTTCTTGGCCTAAACAGAAATAGCTGTTCTCTATTTATTGCAGACTGCTTCAGTCAAAAAAAGAAGAAACTTTGGTGAAATCCCTGACTGTCAGTACACAGCCATAGAATACTACCTAAGGAATTAATTACTGAGAAAAATTGTAGTCATACCTCTCTTTTTGAAATGAAAGGAATAGGGGATAAAGCACATATTTGCCACGTTTACAGCACTCTGTGGTAAAAGCAGTGAGACTACTTCAATTTTCATTCTAGCAGTAGATAAAGAACCAGCAGTCTGATTTCTTAATTCTAGGTTCACTGTAAATTTCTCCTACAGCATGCTATATAAAATTACCATATATATATATATATATATGTATACCAATAACCTTTGACGCAATTTTTTTCTTATTTCAAATATTATGTCAGAACACAAGCAAACAAAAGAAACAACCATTTAAATAATTAATGGTCCAGCTGTTCAAGTCATTGCTTTCAGAAGAACAGTCTCAGCGGCATCAGCAGGAATGTTTACATCCTGGTATTTGGCTAGCCATGAACAAGAACTAGGCAGTCAGCATGCAGATGGAAGAATCCTCAGAAACTTCTCCTTATTCATCTTCCCAGAGCACCAGTGCAGAATCCCAAAATGTACCCAGAGTAAATCCCACTGAGCTTCAAAGAGATGTAAGCATCCTCAAGTGTTTTACAAAGGAGTTGGAGAGGACTGTCACCATTGATCATGTGAGTTGTGAGATCGCACCAAGGTCACCACGATGAAGTTTCTAGATAGTATCTAGATGAGTAGATAGTTTCTAGATGACTATCTCCAATCTTCAGATTCATTAGAAAATAACCACTGAGTTATGTTTTGTTTGTCAAGATTAAGTGGCTGAATTGAGACACTTCTGAATGCTTGCAGTCAGAATTTGCTTATTAATTATCTAGGAGTACAGCTTTCATTTCTCACTTGTATTTTGGCATGACTTTCATGATGCATTAGGAGCCCCATTATTATTACCCCTCCATACTGGCTCTTGATGAACAGCTTAAGAAAAAAACCACTACTGAAGCTCTCAAGAACTGTGAAATAATATAGGAAAGCTTTAATGTTGTCCTCTATGTTACATGCTTTACATAAATGCAACCAGTGAAATATTTAAAAAGCATCTAAATTTCAGCTTCAGAGGGTAACGTCCTTGCCATCTGCAGCAATATTCTTCTTTCTGTGTACGTAAGTGGATTACTACACAGGCCTTTTTTTCCCCCTATTTCCTGAATATCACTGGCGTGTGAGGTCTCTGTGCCTTGAGAAACTGGAACTGATAACAGCATCCTATGTGGATAGTACAACAATTTCACCTAAGGCCTCTTTTAAATTTATTGAAGATGCAGTATCTTTGGACAAAACTAGTCCTGCAGGAACAGCTGTACATCTGTACTGCCAGGTATGACCTTTCCCTACATATGATGGCCAAACCACACACTCCTTCACCCTTTCTCCTGCACGGCATAATCACTGTTGTCTGTCAGACTACAGCTGATTTCTTTGGTCAGTAAAAAGACTCACTAAAAGGCTATTTCTGAAGAGCAGAATGCTGTAATCTAAGCTGCATATTAGCCCACATTTGACTTTACAAAGTGCGTGCAGCCTGCTAAACCTAACGCAAGGTCTGCAAGGCTTTGAAATGAGAGTGTATGTAAGACATTTGTATTTTCTCTGAAATTTCTTTATATTTAAAATGAAAATAAAAACTCTATTTCCAGTAACTACAATAAAATATTTCTGGGGACAAGTTTCTATGTTATTTTACATGTTAAAAAAAATGTAGTTTGAAATATGGCTTGGCTCTATTTGCTAGGCCTAGATGAAACATGGCGGAATATCCAACACAAGCTAGGATGTTTTTTCAATACTCTTGGAAACTCAGCAACTTACATATGTAGTAGAGCCCAAGCAATGACTGAATAAAGAATGACAAATAGCTTAGGATTTGTTATGACAACTTTGACATAATAGAACTGTGCAATTTTTTTTAACTATGCCTGACACAGCAACACTCTCAGGAAGAACAGCTGCTTAACTATTTCACCACAAACAGGACAGTGCAGTTGAGGATCATGACAACACCAATCAACATCAACAACAGTTGACAATTTTATTTGAGATACATGCAATACTTTATGTTTCAGCTGCAGTTTTCTAGATAGAAAACATGATCTAGGCACATGCACGCTTAGATGGCTAAAGGCTTTGGAGTAAGCTGGTTCCTAGTAAAGTCTAACAGAATCAAAAATTACAATGAGGCTCTCTAGAAACTGGGATCTATCCAAAAAGTGAATCAATTTATATAATAAATCAGAGGTGTTACAGACATGCAATGATGTACATGGCTTTTGAGTAGACATAATAAAAAGGTGATAATTATTTCCATCAATTTCTTTACAAAGATTTTCTAATCTACTTTTACTCAAACACAATGTAGAAGGAAGAAAAAGTCTCAAAATAAGAAGGAGCACAGAAGTCAAATGCTTTTCATGAACATAAAACTCTTTTACCCAATTGTTTTCAAACCACCATCGACTGACTTTCAATATTTTTCTCCACAATTAATTCTACTACCTTGCTTCGGAAAATCTGACAAAATATCAGTAATTAAATGCCAGCCACTTAGAGTTGTGTGAAACTTGGCGGTTTCACTTTGCAGGAGTGCAGGCAAATATTTTATTTGGTGTCAATCCACCATTTTCAGTTTGTGTTGATTTTTGAATAAATTCAAACAGACAAATGAATAAGCAGTCAAAATTTCCACATTTTACCTGGTTTCACTTCATGGCAGTCAAAATTTCCACATTTTACCTGGTTTCACTTCATGGCCATACAAATAAAAAGGCATACCTTCATGAATCAGCAATGGAGTCAGATGTTCAAATTCAGAAAGAAATACAAGAAAAAAAAATCTATCACGCAGTTATGGTGATTCAGACCCAAACCCCAGGATTACAGAGGATATTAACCATCTCCAGAGCACCATTACTCTTTCTAGTCTAAATTCTGTTAAGTGCTGCAAGAACATAAAGGCTCCAAATGAGAATAATAGTAGCAATAATTTGGGTTTTTTAAGATCCTGTCAGCATTCTATATCATCACAGGTAAACTTTTTTCCTTTCTACACTTTCCACCTACCTGCAAGTGCCTTAGGATTGCAGCTCTTTGGATCATCGCTGCTGTTGTCAGTGTACCCAATTCTGCTCTTTATCTAGCAAAAATCATGATTGATGCAACAGAAATAATAGCAGGGGGAGCTTGTTTTAAATTAGAGAAGTATGCCACAGAAGTAATAACAATTGAAAAGGTATTAAGGTTTCTGCTGGGAACACACTCACTGCATTCTTCTATGGAGGAGTTAAAAGGAAAGAAGTCCCAAATTCAAGTAACTACAGGTACCACACGTGAGAAGCTGTGAGGTAGAGAAAAAAGGCCAAAGAGGTGAAAGCAAAGGAATAACTAAAAGGAGACATTGGTAAAATACTGCTAGAAATAGAAAAGACAGAGCAGTTTGAAAACTGAACAGCAGAAGGAAGATAATTCAAATGAGGGAAATAACTTTAGAATACAGGACAAAAATGAAGAACAAATGGATTACAGATGGACTGCAGGAGAGATGATGAGACAGAGAAAATAAAGGAGAGAGAGCATGGAAGTATCTAATTACAAAACTCATTGAAGGCAAGATAAAATTACAGACAGAGATGGGAAAAGTTTAAGAAAGGATGGTGTAAGAACTGGAAATCCACAACCAGAAAGGTATGTATCTGGAAACAGGCTAAATAATATCACCATTGTACAGGCTAAAGGTAGAATCAGCATTTGAGAAAAGTTATGAGAAGAGTACAAATAGGAAAATTGTTAAAAAATGAGGTTAGGTACAGAGGTAGGACCCAAGATGCCATCAAGAAAGAAATAAGACCTTAGGAAAGGAATGGGAATGAAAAGCAATAGATGAAGACTTCGATGGAGACCTGGGTGCTAGGCCAGGTGCATGCAAGGTCATCTTACCAGTCCACCACAGGTACTGAAGGAGGCAAAGGAGCCCGGGTAGCGGAGGACAGCACCACTGTAGTAACAAGCTCTCTCAGGTTGCGACTGTGTAGCACTGGGTGGACTTTTGCCTTCACCCCCAAGCCGCTCTTCCACAGCAAAGCCAGGAGCCAGGAAGCGGCTGTCCCTCTTGAGCAGCAGGTAGAGTTCCCGAGCAAAAGCTGGGATCCTCAGCAGCACTTCATCTCCATCCTCTGCTGGAGGTGGTGGCGGTGGGGATGGTGGTGTTGGCAACTGAGAGGCAGCACCAGTTCCCTGGGGTAGGGGGGACCAGTGGTAAAACTCCTGAGACTCATACTCATCCTCAGTGTCCTCTTCCTCTGTTGCCTCCCCTACAGCCTGTGCCTGCCCATCCACCGAGGAGGAGACTGAACGCACCTCTCGGGAGCTGCCAGCCACTGGGCTAGGTGTGACTGGGGCACTGAAAGTGCTGCTTCGGTTCCCACTACTGGGGTCAACGTTGCAACCCCCACCACCACCACCACTGCCACCCGCTGGCTCCTGCTGGCCCGGGCTCCACAGTGCAGGGAAGACAATCTCCCACTCCTCAGTCTCTTCTGAAGCATGGAGACCTGTGGGAAATGCAGAAGATACTTTAAATGAGTGGAGCACCAAACAGCATCCAGTGCCTGCTAAAAACCTTCCCCTTTGCCCACCACAAGATGGTCCTTCTGACTCCTAGACCAACAAGCATGCCACACAAAATACAGTGGGGTTCATTTGTCCCTTTCATCTTGTCCTTACGCAGAGCAGGGGGGTCAGCTGCTAGATGGGTTTGTTCTGTTGATGCGTCTGGAACATACCAAGGTTCTGCAGAACGCAGAGAAAGCTGGACCCCAAGCTGGGCAGAAACTGTGTTTGTACCAGTTGCTGGGAATGTCCTTCCTTTTGATCACCACCTCCATGCAAAGGAAGTTGCATAAACTTTCATTCATTTAGACAAAGCAACTACTTTTTCATATAGCTTAAAAAAAATTGCTGGGGAAAACCTGAACAAATTTGAAAATTTCACCCTTCTTCTCAGCATGCTGGGCAAGACCCATTATGCCTCACAAAGTCTGGCCAAATATACACACACACACACCATGGCTGCACATACAAGTAGCAGTTGCATGCACATGCTGTATCATGATCATTCTTATAATGAAACTGAATTAGAATCACTAGCTACTGATGTCTGCATATCCCACACACTCTACATCAAAATACAACCAAAGTCCGTCATGTCGGCATTATGTTTACAAGAATCTGAGTACACACAACCTACACTAGCCTGAGACAGGAAATAGTTTTATTTACACATTCATCGCACACTCTAGGAACAGCACAGCCAGGAGAGATGACAGGGCTGCTTGTGGAAATCAGGTCTCGTACAGAGCAGCGCTGCGCAGTGCACTCTCACAGCCAAGGCGCGCATTATCTGATCACCCATCGCTTACGGGGGGCGGGCGCGGTTAACAATGGCCAGGTACCGCCACCGGCAGCCGGCGGGGAGCGGAGGCCGCCCCGGGCTCGGCCCATCCCGAGAAAGGCGCGCACTTACCTGCGCCGAGCCCGCTTGACAGCACGCACAGCTGGTAGAAGACGCAGCAGACGCGGCTCAGGCGCATCCTTCCTCCCAGCGCCATCGGCTCCGCGCCCGCGGGACGCCGGCTGACAAGACACGCAGGGCCGTGCCAAGTCGTGCCGGGCCGAGCGGGGAGTGCCGTGGGGCGCAGCCACCTGGGCGCCCGCGGAGAAACTCGGGAGAGCGCGGGTAGCGCGTCCCGGCGGGAAGGGCAGGCAGCACCGGCGGCGCGGGATGCGCAGCGCACGGCGGCCGGGCGTGTGTGTGTGTGCGTGCGTGTCTCTGTCTGTCTGTCCGTCTGTCTGTGCGTGTCCGTGTGTGTGCGTGTGTCTGTGTGCGCGTGGGCGCGGGCAGGCAGGAGCGCGGCCCGTGCGCGCACACAGCGCCCGGCGGCGGGCGGGCAGCTGCGCCCCGGCGGCAGCGCGGCCCCCCTTCCTTCGGCCCGCCACAACCCCGCCGCCGGGCCACGGGCAGGCGCCCGGGCGGGTCCACGAGCGGCCGAACCCCGGCCGCGGTCCCGGGAGACGGCGCTTCGCACCCCGCCCGGCCCTGCCGCCCGTGAGGGGCGCGCACCGCGTGCGCCCCGGCTGCGGGAAGGGTTCCCCCGTCCCGATCGCCAGCAAGGCGCTCAGCGGAGCCTTTGCCGAAATTCAGGGAGCAGCAGACACTGACTGCTTTTGCCTAGTTTTGTGTAATTTGATTCTAAACTCCTTTTGCCCCACCACGCAGCTCTCCATGGAAACCCATCACTTTCCACCCTGGCCCTTGTCAGCAGAGGAACGAGTAAATGAGGAGCTGAGCAAAAAGCTTTAGCTGCGCATCTAGCATCAGCATGAACTGCAAAAGCAACAGGTAAACACGTCCCTCTAAAAGTCGGATTTTGCCGTAACTTCTGCTGCTTTACCTACTGTTGTTGGTGTCAAAGGTGATTGCTGTGCCTTAGGGCAAGGCAGAGCAATCCAGTGCGGTGAGGAAAGCCATCTGTGCCGTTAATGGGAAGCTAAGAGGTTGCAAGAATTCTTTCTAGAAGTTAGTTGTGTAAAATGAAAAGCAAAACATACAAACAAACAAAAATCACGTGTTACAGCTCCAAATAAAAAACACGTTTAGACTCCACAGAAGCCAAATGCAGCTGGTTATTGGTCTCTGCTCTGCTCGATAGCTGCTTGAAACGTATGCTGCATGGATAGGTATTCTCAGCTGACTCCAAATAGTATTTTTTATTAGTAGTTTCATTTTATAGAGGAAAAAGGTTATCATACGGGGGTCTTTTTTTTTTTTTTTTTTTTTTTTGGCATTTGAGCCAACTAACACTAGGCAAAATCAGAGGGACTCAGTGAAAACAAGATTAATTGATTAGGAAGAGGGGAGTTTTTCAGGGCTGCAAACTGATATTTGTCTGATAATTAGGTGACCTTAAAATGCATTTCAAGGAAAGCTTTGTTTTCCAAATAAATAAAACATATGTACTAATTTACAGTGGAATTAGTTAATAGGCCAAATCCTGCAGCCTTTTCATAACTACAACTATCCTTACAAGTGTTCAGGAAGTGCTGCAAAATGTGGTTTATAAGCTCCTGTGAAAATACTGGATACAAATTCTGGTTTTATTTTTGTTCTAACAAATAAGAATATATAGGCAAGATGCAAAAATGCACAGAGAGGACCTTTACTCTGCATACAGTTACATCACAAAAAATACATTAATGGATAACAAGGGGGAATAAGGTAAAAAAAGATATGGCATGTGAATGTGCTTACTTTAAAACTGTGAATTGCTGTGACTGTTTCCAATCTGCTGAAGTTGTTGGTCCCTTTGGACAAGACTGCTTCTCTTGTTCACATGTATAATCTTACTAAAAAGACACAACACTGATTTTGACAGTAAGATAAGGAGAATTTGGCCTTTTCAACACCAACTGCAAATGATAAAGACATTTTTAAAAATGCCAATTGAGAAAGACTGTAATATGTTTGACTGCATAACCAGCCAAAGAAAAAAGAACATTTCTAATAATTCTCCACATATGAATACAGGGCAAGCTAAAATCAACATGGAGCTGCAACAAATTTCTTTAGTTCATTTTATGTTTTGTTTTTATCATTTCAATAGTTAAAGTAAAAAGATACAGGGAAGTTCTCTATGTTTAAGTTTGGCAAAAGTGCACTACAAAATAGAGCCCCTACTGGTGTTCATTAGCTTTAACAGAGAGTCTGGTCATAGGTTAATGCTGGTAAATGAAATTGTAGCCCACCACATGCTAACTGTAGTCACTGTGAGACCAGTGCACAGAAACCTATGTCTAAGAGAATAAGAATTAAAGGGACAAAACAATTATTTCATACCACAGTTAGTTTGCAGAGAGAATAATATTGTATCCGTGTGTACTCTACAAAATACTATTTTCTTAGTCACAAAGCCATTCCAACTCTGCAAAATAGTTTTTACTTTACCAAAGATGTGGTACAGGAGGCGTTATTAACTATGCATTTGTAAAATTGGAAGAAATAGTATCTTCAAACTTCATACAAAGAAAAATTGTTTGATCCAGTAAATTCCTAAAACTGCATCACCCATCTGAAAGGTTGAAGCCTTTTGGCATTTCATAGGATTTGTGCAGAATCACAAATGTAAAGCATGTGTTAATTTTTAAAATACAGCAATGATTCAGACCATCTCACTGACATGAGAAAAAAAATCACAGAAAATGTCCTTGTCAGTCCTTCCTGACTGGGATAAATCAACTCGATTTTTCTGAAATCAATTTCAATTTGGCAATTTCCTTTTGTTTAGTCCTCCCTGGTGTTAAATTTACAAAGCTGTGCCATCACTCCCTTAAGGACTGTCAGGGCAAGGATTCTCCCAGTCACCACCACAGGCTGACTTCCCATTTCTTCAGTAGGCCAAGGTCATTCATGATCACTGATAACAAAACATAGATATCTCAAGCCATCTTTTGAAGGCTTCAGTATGATTCTTTAACTTTCACTCCACTCCTCCCATGGTTTTATCTAAATCTGTGCTGCCGTTGCTGTCTTACCTTACAAAAGCAAGGGCCGAATCCCTGTTTCCCCCAGACCCTCATTTCATTTACTGTCTGTTAGGAGTGATTTATTTCTGAGCATTAAGGTAAGTGGGGACAGATCATTCTATAGAATTCAAAATATCAGCTTCTAGCAATATAAACACTGCCATCAGTCAGAGACTTTCCTTGGTTTGTTTTTTCTCCTTACTTAATCATTTAACTGTTAAAGCTCATACAATTTTATGCATTAAAAAGGGGCTTAAGATTACCTCAGCTTTGCATTACATACAAGATTTCCTCCAGTAATTGTTACCAAAAAAACCACAAACCTTTAATCCTCTTCACAAGGATATAGTTATTAATTATTTTTGCATATGCTTTATATCTAACTATTGAACTATGATACAATTGATTTTTTAAAAATCCTTAAGTATATTTTTTCAGATTTTTACAACTTAAGAAAATATTCTGGATGGATGGAAGAAATCAATTCTCTTTTGAATGGTGCTTACTACATTAAGGCCACATATCATATGTCCACTGAGATTAGAAACAGAAACTCACATCTTCCTGTTTCTGGGGTGCTTTGTAAATGTTATCTCAGTCTAAATAAACTTGTTTCAAAGAAGACTGAACAAAATGTCTTCTGATTTGAAAGATACATGTGAACCAATGCTGCAAATTTTCTCCACCTAAGCATGAATGAAAAGAAGTTTTTTCCCTTTTATAAAATGTTATATTCCCTATCTCTTCAACTGAACATTGACTTTCCACTGTCCGCTAGCTCACAAACTCTGAACATTTAGTCTGTAATTCTATACTGTTTACAAGCTCAACATGAAGTTTTATTTAAAAGGTATGTATTTAAGATCACTTAAAAAAAACCTTGTCTTTTGCAGCTCTTACTGCGGAGCAAATCTTACGTTTACATCTGAACTCAGTAGTACAATCAAATGACCTGCTGAGCAAGATATGTGTCAAACTGTTGTGAGTGTAATACCTCTACTTGCTTAAAGTGCATCGATTTGAAAGGGCAAAGTAAACCCACAGCAGCTCAATATCATTATGCCACACCACTACTTCATATGATTCAGCTGAATTTAGTAAATTCAATTGAAGAAAAGTTTACTCCCAAGTTGGTGCCTTGTGAGTTACTTCTCAAAGTCATATGGATCAATTTGTGGATAGCATTAGCTAAAAATATGCTGTCAACACTTACCCTATTTATTTAGAATGCTTCACCAAGTCACCACTTAATTAGAATAGGCTTTCACAGCTCTTTTATTATAGCCTTTTAATTTAGTTATTTCTTTAAAAAAAAAAAAAAAAAAAAAAAAAAGCTTGGCAATTGTTTACATTTTTATAGAAAAATCAGCCTGTACAATGGAAGGTAGTAAAGTACTCAAGCTGAAACCACTTTAAAGACAGCAAGGCACTCTGTGAACCTGAGTTCCACACAACTTCCCAAGCTAAAGTTTTCCCTCAAAGTGGAGGTTCTTCAGATTTCTTAACTGAATCATCTAACAAGCAAATATGTCACCTGATCACTTATGGCAAACAGGGTACTTCAGAATGATCAACAACTAGTTCCCATTTTTGGAACATCTTAAAGGGGCAAGGCTTCAAATTTGAAAACTGCAAGTCATCTCTTGAAGAAAAAATATCATTAATTTCTAAGAATCACAGAATCATTTAGGTTGAAAAAGACCTCTGAGATCATCAAACCTTTGCCTTTGGAGATAATAGAAAAGATGCTATAACAGAGGCTACTTATGGAGAATAATTCACATTGTTGATTAACATTGTATGGTTCTTCATGACAATTACATTTTAAAATAATACAATAATCCTGTTTTAGAATGCATCTATGAAATAAAAATAGTTTAGAACTGTAGCATAATTTATAAATGTATATGAGCACATGGAAAAATTAACTACTGAAAAAAAAGTAATTATTGAAAATGCCCTTAAAAAGGGCTTAATGGACACAAATTTTTAGAGTGGAGGGAAGTCTTTCCCCAAAATAAAGATAATAAAACTTAAACTCCTCTTCCAAA